TATTTGAAACCATTCATAATTATTTTAGTTGAGCCAAAGTAGTACATAGAATGACCATTTTACCCTATCCCGCTGGTCCTTGTTAGGTCCTCCCTAAATGTTTTCATGGAATTTTCGGCAACATCTATTTGAGTATTTTAGTAATATCTAGTTTTCCTTCACAACTTAGTCCATAAATATTATATCATATGTGTTTTTTAATTATTCAATACATTCCTATATCAAACCCCATATACAGTAGTATGTTCACTTAAGTTCGCAGCATATGGGAAACTTTATTATCAATTTTACGAAAAAAAGCTATTGTTTATAAAGGTTTCTGTTTCTTGAAAAAATAGTATTAAACTATCAAAACTTGAAATAGCATGTACAGGGTGGTCAGAAAACTGAAAAATATACAGGGTTTTTTTGGTAAAAATGGAAAAAAAATCGTACGTCACTATTTTTTTAAAACCTTTGATATTTTTTCCAAATTAGGCAAGTCATATTACAGTCAAAAGATACCTTTCGTTATCAGTTATCACAAACAAACCTGCCAGATTTAAAAAAAAAATTGTAAAGAGATTTTTGAGCTAAAAAAACGAATTTTTCTAAAACTTTGACACCCTGTATCTCTGAAACTACGCATTTCCGAACACATGTCTATGGGAACTTTTTTTCCTAAAATATTGCAAGGAAATCACATCCCGGAGTTGCGGACCGTACTTAGAAAACACCCTGTATATTTTTACATTTTTGACCACCCTGTACATGCTATTTCAAGTTTTAATAGTTTGATATCATTTTTTCAAGAAGCAGAAGCTCTTATAAAAAATAACTTTTTTTTTCGCAAAATCGATAATAAAAAGTTTCCTATATACTGCGAACTTAAGTGGACACACTGTATATTTTAAAATCATAGTTTTTCACTATTGTATTGAGAATCTCACTAGAATCTAGGAACAAGATAAGATGTTTACTACTACTACCCTTTCTAAGCATGTAAAAATGAGCCATAATTTTGCAAATAAGAACGTTTCTGTTTCGGCAAATATTCTAAAATAATCAGTGCGGTTCAGATTATTATTGGAGCAACTTATTCAGGGTAAATGACGTACAATTTTTTTTTTTGTGAATTTTTATTACAATTTGGTCCATGTTGGCTAATTGTGCGCATTGCCGTCCTTTTATATTTTCAAACTATTATGAAAATACATATCTTCCTTGTTTTAGATGCCAAAATATGCCCGAAAAACCAATGAAGACAGATGTTTGAGTTGCGATGACTCGAGCAAAAAAGCTGAATATTGGTTTCAATGCTCAGTGTGCGGCAAATGGGCTCCATGAGCTTTGCAGTTTAGTCCGGGAAACTTGGGAATATAGGTCAAAAAAAATCCCAGAGTTTTTCTGAGACCTGTTTTGGGTTCCTGTGATAGTGCTCTACAACGTATAAAAAGTCCCCAAAAATTCCCTCATTGGCATTTTTTTTAGAGGCCTTTTAAATATAAACTACTTTTACACTAAAAGTTGAAAAGTAGCAATAGTTTCATGTTCGCTGTGAGACGTCGGGGCCATGTTCATATGCATTTGTTCGGTTGGCATGCATGACCACTGTACCAACACACCAGAAAAACATCACGGTAAGTCGTATTGCCCGATAAAAAGGGTGTAGCTCGCGGCAAATGTCGCTCAAACCCGCAGAATTCCCGTTTCTTTCGCGTTTCTTCGTTCCTAACCTCGTTTTGTCTGTTGGTGGCATTGCAGAAGTGTTCAGGAGTGACTGTAACAGAACTGGTGCTAACCGTATCTTAATTTTCCGGAAATAAACCACGTATCTCACCCAACACATCGCGAGTGCCGTCCAATTCGGCGTGCGCCGCCGTCGTCGCGTGCGATCATTCTGTGCGTGGTTCGGTAAAGTAAAATTAAAGTTACACTTCGAAAATCCCGAAAGGTGAGAAAATCCCGAAAGGTGAAGTCGTTTAACGTACCTCTCTGTCACTTGATCGCTCGTGGTGTCTGGTGTAGCGTTTGCGACATGACTTGTGCACCTTCACACTCGTTACTCCTTCAAGCACGGTAGAAATGCCATCTTTTCTCACTTCACTGACGGCTTTTAAGGTGTTTAGTCCACGACTCACTTCAATAAGTTCACATTCAGCTTCTCCACCACACTGAGGCAAAATACACTTCACCATGGTGCCACAATACTTCTCTTGTTAACTTTAAAAACATTAGGAATATTCTTAAACTTCCAGCGGAACGCGTATTCCCCTCTTGAACAGTGGGCACCATGGCAACCGTGGCCAACAATGTGATCGTCGAGAACGTGATGCGAACGGGGAACCATGGCGGGTTTGAACAAGTGCATTCACCGCACTGCACACGCGCACACGCGCACTTACACACACACACACGGACTTACACACACTGACACACACACAGACGTACTTGTAGCACACGTGACCACCACGCTAGCAGACCAGCGCCAGCGGCCACATTTTCTGGCATATCTCTGTTTCGAGTTCAGATACGCGGCTTATTTCCGGAACTTTGAGATACAGTTTAACGCCAGTACTGTTCCAGTCACTCCCGAACACTTCTTCAATGCCACCAAAGCTTAAAATGAAGTTCGGAACGAAGAAACGCGAAAGAAACAGGACTTCTACGGATTTGAGCGCTATTTGCCGCGAGTTACACCCTTTTAATCGGGAAATACGACTTACCGTGATGTTTTTCTGGTGTGTTGGTACAGTGGTCATGCATTCCAACCGAACAAATGCATATGAACATGGCCCCGACGTCTCACAGCGAACATGAAACTATTGCTACTTCTCAACTTTTAGTGTAAAAGTTGTATATATTTAAAAGGCCTCTAAAAAAATGCCAATGAGGAGATTTTTGGGGACTTTTTATACGTTGTAGAGCACTATCACAGGAACCCAAAACAGGTCTCAGAAAAACTCTGGGATTTTTTTTGAGGTTTAGGCGAAATTTTGCCTAACATTCCTGGACTAGTTGTGCGGACTCCCCGAATGTTATATCTATGACTTCTGCGATCGTTAAGTTATGGTTTTCATATTTGCAATAAACCTATTATGAACTGGTTTTTATTCCACTCTTCACATCATATATATAGTTTTCTGTTGCGCACAATTGCCCTGACCAATGCGCACCATTATTCGCATAGGGTGGATAATCGTGCGCAGTGTCAGTTTTTATCTAATTTTGTCCCAAGGCTCAGAATATTTTCTTTGTGATCTTTGGTTCATTTGGGCTGTAACCTAACAAAGTAGAACATCTATGCCATGGTCAGGTTTCCGGGCTATGGCTATATTGGGTGGCAGAATGTTTTGATGCCTCCCATACACCCTTTTTATTTATTCACGTGTGATATTTTGACATCCATCCCTCATAATGCTGAAAATACTGCCCTAAATCTTTTCACCAATATCTTCAATTTGCTATTGCTTTACCAGCAGCACTAGTAAATTTGTTTCACCCGGAAGCAACAACAGAAATACAAGAACGAATTCCTGGCGGCCTAAAATGTTATCAATGGAATTAGAGATGCGGATGTAGAAATCAAAGCTGTGTTAATAGAAAATAAGAAAAGGAACCAATAGGATCAAGTAAACAAAAAATGAGGGAGCTCCTGGAAACTTGAAAATTTTATACCTTAAGGACACCGGTAGATAATATATCGCCAACAAAGTGGAAAAAAAAAAACATTCGATGAGCGATGAGAGAAAACCGAACACACGAAGGTGAGGTGGGACTGCTGATCAGAAAGTCAATATAATCTTTCAAACAAATGCTCCACAGGTTCCAATGATCATGAATACTACGAGTGATACGAGAGCTCCCGCAGGTGCAGACACGTCGGCTGGCAGCATGGTAGTCAACAAGGAACAAGTGGTCATTTTTGTTGTTCCCGTGAGGTCAGCCCGGGATGAAAATGACGCCGGCGTGTGGGTAAACCTGGATAGACACGAACGCATCCTAGAGGCCATTCATTTGACAGGCATAGAGATGTTAAGCATCTAAATAGTTGGAATACTGGAGATGATTACAGTATTTCCAAAGACATGATTCCAAGGACTAATGGGATGATTATGTATCTGACGGAAGTTATAGACGTAGAAGAGTAGATGGTGCGTCTTCATAGGGTGACAAGGCTTATCACGAGAATAAATTATCCAGATCGGGCCGATCTGATTATTCTGATTTGAGAGAGAAGCAAACGTTACGATAATTTCGTAACGTAACTCCGGTGGTGCACAGTGGCGTCGGCATTTCCGCACAATGTAATTCATTGTGCGGAAATGCCGACGCCACTGTGCACGGCCGGAGTGTGTTTATTTAGGATTTCGTTTACATTCTGCAAAATAAACAAGAATTTACGAGAATTCTAGAGAGCTATTAACTTTCCTTATAAAGCGCGGTAGTTTGTAAGTAGCAGTCAGTTTGAAGAAGATAATTGTTGAACAAAATTTAGTGAAATCGAAAGCGATTAGTGGATTTTGTGGAAAATAAGTTCAAAAAAATTTGTTTTTCTTAGTGTTAAACGTAGAACCATTCTACGTGGTTCTGCTAATAACTCATACTATGAGCTTCTATTGATTCTGGACAGTACCAGCGTCCACATTAAGTGTGGTTGTGCCTTGTAAGACACTGAAGAGAAACCGAATTCTCATCCATTTGGGATTCTACGCTAGCTGCAGGTTTGGAGCTAGTTCGTCTTTCATCAGTGCAACCTAAGTGAAAGCATACCGCAGAGAAACAGGTTTGATGGAGACCAAAACACCAACATAGGAATAAGCAACATAGGAATTAGCATGTGGCTTCCTCGCTTCGAGGGGTCCTACAAAGCAAAACCAACAAGCCCTGTTGATAGCGATAAAATGTCCTATTTATTATGTTGTCTATGTATGTGTAAAAATACTAAAAATCGATGTCCCCTTTACCAGAATGCTGCAATTTAGCGAAATATTTTGGAATGAGAGTAAATTAATATTTATTCATACGGTACACTGCAATTAAATTGCGATGTTTGGTAAAAGGGTCAGTATAACCATAGGGAGAGCCCAATCCAATGTGAAAACAAAGGGCGATTTCGCTTACTACAATAATGAGGAATGAGACCGATCTTGAGAGGAATTGCAGGAATGGTGTAATTGAGGTTCGCCGCGTACGGGGTTGCTCGTTTTGGCCCGTAATTAATCAGTAGACAGATGCGTGAGGGCGCGCGCTCTCGGCCTTATCCTTGTGACGTCTGCTGGCTGTAAAGTTTGCTTTCCGGGGGTAAGTGCATTGCATCGGTTCTTCTCGTCTACTGCTGACACTCTCCGCAGAAATTTCACTACTGGCACTGGCGCCGCGACGCTACGCTACTCCTGTCCGCCTATTCCTGTATTCCCGTTTCTCTCTTTGATGTCTCCCGTCCTCTCCAGTCGTGTTTTAGCTTCGTTTCGTTTCGTTTCATTCCAGTCCACACGGGACGTTTGGAGTGCCGCGCCTGAAAAATTCGCGTTCATTTCAATGTTCTTATGTGCACTGATCCACTTGAACTTTCATTAGCTCTTAGAAAACCTAGCAATGTAAACATTTTGGAGTACTTGGTAAATAGAGCTTTGTTTGTTTTCCTTTAATTTCCTTTTCTGTAGATGTTAATTAATATAACTTTGGAAACGCTTTATTTGTACATCTGTCAGTTGCACGAAATGTTCCGATTTTAACGCTTTGATAACCTTTCTGCTTAAATTTATAGAGCGTATTTTTGTTATGGAATGGAACGCTTTTTCCTCGCTGAAACGGATTTCTCAAATTTCACGTTGGAAATGAGAATATTGACTAAAGCCGCTATAATTTAGGGGCGGGAAAACTGGCGGTATTAAGCGTTAGTGAAATGAGGTTCGCTTTTATTTAGAAAATTTATGTTACAGCAGCTGATTCTAGATTTTTTTTTCTAAATTTATAAATTTAGTTATTTTGGGGTTTCGAATACGAAAATATTTTAGGAAATTGATGCTAATAGAGAAATAAAGACTCCTGTTTATAAATTTCAGCAGTATATGCGGATGTAATTTCGACCGGAATATGTACAGGTACTTGAAGGAGACATGTAAATTCGACCGGAGGTTTAAGGTTTCGATCTTATGTTATGAGTATTTTCGACCCAAAGGAGCAGGTAGGTATAATAAAATATGATGATAATGATCTATAAAAGCTGCTTTATTAAACTAAAATCAAAGACAAAATTGCTGTCGAGAAAAAGGAGAACATATGTATGTACAACTCAAATAAAGGTATACTTACATACTATTACCATTGTATATTACTTACAATGGTGGGCACAGTTAACCGAGAAGTTAACTTCGTTAATCGTTAATTCGCTACTTGAAAAGTTAACTTCGATAATCGTTAATCGTTAAATTTTTGAGGATATAACGCAAGTTAAAGTTATCCGTTAAGAGTTAATCATCGAAAAGTTATACTGATGTTTGAAGCTAATTATAAGTAATATATAATTGAAATAGAATAGGCTGAACTAGGGTATAGAATTTTTAATACCTATTTGGAAGTACCAGTCGTTTTGCTGATTTGTGATTGGTTAGTAATTTTTTGTTTCATCTGATTTATGATTGTTGAACAAGGATGCTGTTATTCCAAATGGAAGGTTAAGGGGTTCAGGTAAATCAAATAAAAAAAATTACCCTCGGTCGAAATTACTCATGTCAATAAATGGGCCTCTTGCTTGGGCAGGTTGGCGAGGGGATTACCGGTCGAAATTACGCCCGCCGAAAATGTCTATCTAGGTATCCAAAATTACCCTAATTTAAATTGTGCAAACTTTATACCTAGGCCAGTAAAACATAAAGCATAAAAAAAGGTTATACGTATATGTACTTATGTGTTCCTGAATAGACTTTTACAAAATACCTAAGTGTTGCTGAAACGACTTCCGCTAAATAAAATATTTCTTTCCCTTTGCAATTTGAACATTTTGATAAAAAGCTTCTAAAAGGTCGGATGAGAAAATTTTAACTTCAGTAAATACGGGTTCTACCAAATTCAAAAGTATGTAATCTATAATATATGATAGGTATAAGTACGAATATTGATATTCTCGTATGTAAATTCGCAGCAACACCAACATGGATCAAAGGATGTTTTAGATTCGATGAAATAGTGAAACAATTCAGTATTCAATGAAATGTCATTATGTTCCGATACGAAATAAGTCCAAACTAATGGAAAATCCAAAAAGATTTCCATCATTGGAACATATCCAAAAATAATAAGCGCCGCGGCGTCGAGACTTTTAGATAATGCCACCAACTTTAGAAATCTTTACACTTTGTGTGTTCTATATACCCAAGCCAAATCAGATCGAAAATAGCGGCATATAGGAGAAACAATTTTTAGACTGGAAATGTTGATAGTGAAGTCTCTGAAGGGGTGGATGGAAAAATTTTCTTAAATGTATTCGACGCTTCTTCTAATTTATCTCTTAGCTTTTTACTTCAACTAAAAAACCTATACAGCAAAAATGTAACTTCTACAAGAAAGGTTTTCATACGGGTCGATAAAGGTACCTATTTATCGATTCATTATTTTGCACAAATGAATATATCTACACCCCTTGTAGCCATGATTTTCCTTGTTTGTATCATTTTGAACAACATGTTTTGAGTTTTGCACCATACCACCTCATGCAAAAATCGACACCCACACTCATCAATTCTTGAATTCGGATACCCACTGCAAATTATTATTGCTCACATTTGGCATCATAGACAGGGTTATTATACACAGTACCTATAAAGTATAATTCAGATAGTGGCAAATTATTTATATTTAAAGTGTTGCACATGCCAAATAGCTAACTTAACTGATAGGTAATAATTTGCAGAGAAATTTTCGATGAGGAAGGAATTTTTGTTCAAAAGCGCAAAATGGGTGCAAATTCATGACACTGCTTCGATTCGTTTTTGAAATTCAGTGCAGGGCTGATTTTAACCACCCGGTCCTATGCTACATACCAACACTGTAAAACTTTCGGGCGAAAATTCATGGAAGCTTTAGGCAGGTTCGGTCCAATTAATTTTGTGAGCTATTCAGTATTTATTGTCGATTGATTCTGCTGAGCTTTAGATCTGGCCGGCCAACCCAATTTTGAGCTTCTTGAATTAACTGCCAATTATTCGTACTTATTTACAATAATATTAGGTATGTATTATCAAGAGTTTTAATAACAACTCCTAAAATACTTGGATTCTTTTCTGTTTATTGTCACTCATAGTTAGGCGGATAGCATGACTCAATTTTGTTTGCAAAAAAGGTTGTAGGTAGGTACGTGTGATATTAAAAATTATAGGCGATTTCGCCTCAGTTTGGTACCCTAGTTTGGTCTGTCAAACAGGTACCATTCAATTTCGGATGGGTGAATGATGCTGTCACAACAACTTTGGTAGGCCCTTTGTTCTGTCAGATGCTATACCGCGGTTTGACTGGGTAGTGGAGGTTTGGTAGCTTTCTGTTTCTTTTTCTTTCATGTCCAAATAAACATGTCAAAGTCAAAATGTACCAAACGCCCTATCCACTGAATTCGGATGAGATTGTTGAGCTACGTCACTTACGTACCAATTGGTTAACCATTCGCCTACCAAACAGCAGATGAAAATCTGGGGCGAAATCGCCTTAGGTCTTCATTTGGTATACAGTGTCCCCCATAATTGTTCGCTGATTGGAAAAAAATAATAATTGTGGGATATGGATTTTTTTCTTATGTGCGATCGATCGTGTTTGTCCAATAACCTAAAAGTACATTTTGACAGCGGTTATGTGGTCACTGTTGTGGCGGCAAATTCATGAGCATATCCAAGGCGAAAAACAAGTGATTGCCTAATTTTTGTTGCTTTTGCTCCAAATTTCGCAGACAGCCCTGAAACATCGTTCTAATCACTTTTTCCGATATGTTGCCATTTAAATTTTCCCATATGTAGCGAACATTATGATTATAACTAGGATGTTAAAATACATGCAAAAACATGCGCTTTAACGAACAAGAGACTATGAGAAAATATTGTTACGAAATTGCATTGACGACCCAAACGCGAGTATTTAGGAATTCTATTGTATTATTTAAGTGAACAAGCATTTAGTGATTCTCGAGATTTAATGAATAAATCATTTTTATATGAAGCCCGTAGTTGTAAGGAGTAAAGTTGAGCGATAAGTGATAAGTGAATTTTGTAAAGTTAAGTCAGTAAAAGTTGTTTTTATTATTGAAGTGAGTTTTTAGTGGACCCGCGAAATTCGTGGTAATTTGATGTTAGATGTGGAATAATTAGCAAGACAATTAGTGTATTAATTTTCAATTTCAACTAAATAGTGAAATAATTGACGAGATAACTATTGACGAAGTTTTAGCTAATTAGGGAAATAAATAGCGAGATAATTAGGAGATTGATTTGAGCTTATTAGTGGGAACGATAAGTGAACTTTTGTTTCAACGGAAACAGTGATTTTATTACTGTGTTTGACAACGAAAAACAAGTTTTCAGAATGATTTTTCTAGAGCATCCCATTGTATTTTATATGAGAATTAGACAAGGTACGTGAATTTTAATTTCGTCATCGGACTTTCAATTTAAAATCAAGTTTCATGAAGGATCCATAGTATTCTATGGTAAGTACACGACAGAGCAAACAGACGAAATAGAGGATCAGTCAAGTTTGCCCTCCGTGTCCTCCCGATCTTAAAACAAAACATTTCATAATTTTACACAAATTTCGCACAATCCTGCACGACCCAAACCAATTTTGCACACCCCTCTCCGAGAAACTATACAGCTTTTTTAAATGGACGCACACTTCAGCCCCGCCCCCCACCCCGGATGAAAGGAAAAATGCAAATTTGCATAGCTTTGTGGGGAAAGTCATCAAAAAATTAACCAAACATATTTCTTTTACTGTAACAGTGTACTAATTTTGCACAATTTCGGCACTAATTTTTAAATTTTGCACAGCTCTGTGTAGAAAGTTATAGGAATGGTATAGGTACTTAAGACAATACAATAAAATTTGGGGGAAGTGGTAGTAAGTGTAACACCTCATTAGAAGGTATATTCAGTAGTATAACGTGAGTTAGGTTGAGGTTGCCTATTGCTCATAACTAAACCGCTGGAGAAATGAAGCGGAACAAGCGCATTTTTAGGTGAACTTCAAATTCCAATATTACGCCTACTAAATAGAATATCAGTGAGCGGTTTGTGAAAATTAACTTTCAAATTAAGCAAACCACTCATTGATATCTTCTTTAGTTCGCGTAATATTGGAATCCAAAGCTAAACTAAAAATTCGCTTGTTCCGCTTCATTTGTCCAGCAGTTTAGTTCTTCATACTATAAAAAACTTCAGGAGAAAATAAGTTAAATGTAATAAATTTTTTTCTTCTTCGTCAACATCTGTTCATCCACTCCTGGGTATGGGTATCTCCTAATTGTTCCCATCTTTCTTTATTATTCGCCAATCTTATCTACTGTTTGCCTGCCACTTCCCTTATGTCCTCCATCCATCTTTTTTCAAGTTTTCACATGCTTCTTGTTGTCTCCTTT